TTATCTCAAATTTAAAATTGACTGACCAGCATCCACTGCCATTTGTGGAAGAGAGTTCCAAACATCTATCACTATTTGTGTGTGCAAGTGCTTCCTAACATCATCTCAGACTATGCCCCCTGATCTAGAATCCCCAGCCAGTGGAAATAATTTATCTTGATCTATCCTGTATTTTCCTCTTACTATCTTGTGTACAGCTCACAGTTTTCCAATTGATGTCTAAGCAGGGTTTTGTATGACTGCAGCATAACTTCAGCATCCTTGTACCCCAGTCCTGTAGATATAAAGGCCAGCATTCCATTAGCTTTCTTGATTATTTTCTGCACTTGTTTGAATTTTAAAGATCTATGCACCTCATCCCCCAAGTCTCTATGGACATCCACTGTATTTAACATCAGGTCATCTGAAAAGTACCCTCATCTATCCCTTTTCAGTCCAAAATGGATAACCTCACAACGGAATTGCCTACATTGACCTTCATCTGCCATAGTTTTGCCCATTCATTTAGTCTGTCAATATCTCTTTGTAATTTAATATAATGTCCACACCATCTACACTGCTGCCTAACTTTGTGTCATCAGTAAATTTGGCCATTCCTCCGTTCTGGAGAACGCCCGCAAACGATGAAATTTACGAGTGCTGAGCTCATTTAAAAGTAGGTTAAAATAGGTTGTAAAATCGCGGAAAATAGGTTATAAAACCACTGGTCACATCCTGCCAATGAGTACCTACCTATTATCCCGACTTTCGCTCGTTGCCATTCAAACCATTTCTCCGCCTGTGTCGGTAATTTGCCCTCAATTTTGTGGTCTTCTACCTTAGTTAATAGTTTCTGATGTGGAACTTTGTCCAATGCCTTCTGGAATTCCGGTAGGTCTTGCTTGATCAGATGCCGCAATGATGAATACATGTCCATCTGACACAGAGTTCACCCCCAAGTGCCTGCGGACTGAGGGGCTATTGTGTGTGCCTTCTGCCCCTCTCTGACCCCTCCTTATTTTTAATCCTATCCCCACAGAGCTCTTGAAGCTTAAAATGTAGCCCGGTTGTGCTCCCGGTTGCCATGGAGACCGGCCTAAAGAAAACAAGCACAGAGCATTCAAACATTGAACAGTAAAATAAATGCCGAGGGCATTATCAGAAAGAAAACAGTCTTGCAAATGTGGCTTCATTTCCCCAGGCCCGTGTTTTTTTTTTAAACTGCTTTTTTCATACGTAACTAATATTTTGCAATAGTAAAGGTTGAATTTCCTACTGATTAAAAATGTTTGCATAGAGTTCGCCTGAAAGATCTGGCTGGGAACAGCAACGTGTTACAGCCACTTAGATGGACGAGCGAGTTGGGCTAATAAGGTACAGAAAGGCAGCGTGGCATAAAGAGACCAACCCCAATTCTTGAGGGTGCAGCAACGTCCGAGATATTTTTTTTTCCCCAGCATTGTTTAACAGGATACTCCCTCTCGACTGAAACTCTGGGACTACAGCATCCCACCTATCCAGTGCACGGTCTGTTCCTCCTCACTGCAATCTAAAGGCGCTGCAATTGTAGTGATCATCTAGCTCCATCTTCTCCAGAGACTTCCTAACTTCCTGGATCCCAGCTGTAGCTTCTTATCCCGCAATCTGGTGCAGTATAAGACCCCCACACTCTCACACAGCGGATCATACTGTGTAGCATGGTTTGTATTGTATTTCACTTGGAAACGTGTGAGTGCCCCTGCTCATTGTTCATGAGATCTCCGAGTTGAAGCTGTGCAGACGCGATGCTGTGTAAGGGAGGAGGGGAGGTGAGGGGGGTGGGGATGGGGGGAGAAGAAGCGAGACCGTTCCTGGGAGCGCAGAGCTGGTGCAGGGGTTGCAGTCTGAGAAGCTGTTGCCGGTGTCTGACCAGTCTCGCTGCAAGCTGGTTCTGCTGTCTTTGCAGCTTGTTCCCCCCTCCACCCAGGTACTGTGCATCAACCCCCCACCCACCAAACCCAGTATCCACTGGAATCGCCAACGGGCCAGAATGAAACGGCGTTTCATTCTGCATTGCAGCTGCACCCTCACATTCAGGGTTGATGGTAGGCAGAGGGGGAAAGTATATATTAATGTCCGTTTATAATACAGAATATTTCTGCGAACAGACAATGAAATGCAGACAAGTCTGCTCCTAGATTTTTTTTATTTTTAGAGACAGTACCACGACGGTAATAGAGTTTTTGTCAGCCTGCAGATCATTTGTCTGGCGATGTTTAAGAAAGCGATCAATAACTGGTTAGTTCTCCTTAGACGTTGCGCTTTACATGTACGCTAGCTTAGTTAACCTCTGAACCTGCACAATATTCATTTGGAATGATTTAACTAAATTAAGAAGTTTCCATTTGGTATTTCATTAACACCGACTCCTGTGCACCTCTTTGTGTTTGGGAAATGGACACAAAACGGTTTAACTTCAGGGAGATAATGTGAATCCTCTCCTAGGAGTAGGGCCAGGAATCTGCTACCGCATCTTCATTTTCACAAGTGGAGATTGAGAACAAACATTTAGACTGAAGCAGGTGAGAATCCCAATTAGTCTGACCCCCTCCTAATGTTGAATAAAAGTGAAACAAAGTGCTATTACATTAATAGCTCATAAATCGTAATTTCTTACAGAATACTTTAATCTGAATGAAATCTCTCTACCTGGCAATAACCTGGTAGAATGAGATTATTACTTGCAAATTGAGGGCTCTTGTGTCTCAGACGTAATGTAGGCCAGGATTGCAGTCCCACCTGATCCAGAGGTGTGTCATAACCTGTCTGGACAGGTTGACTAAAATATCTACAGTTTGCTCACGAAATTCAAGACAGATCAAAATGAAATGTTCCATTTTGGTGAGATTGCAGATTACTTTGAAAATAAGAATTAAAACGGGATAGAGGAGCAAAGGGATACACATCTCGACATCAGTACAACAGAGGCACAGGTTAATAGGACCATGAGAAAGGGAATCCAGAGTGAGGGAATTGAAACGTAAATGCTTGATGATAACCATGTGACAACCCTTGGAGAACCGTGCGCAGTTCTAATCATCATATATCAAGGATATAGTGAGGAGGGTGCAATAAAATGCTCACTAGAATTGAGATTACGCCTATTTACGTTTTATTGAAAAGAAGGGGTTGAAGAGTGACCTAATAAAGGTCTTTGGAATGATGGAAGGTTTTAATAGATTAGACACAGAGCATGCTTCCACATGAGGGAAAGAGCAAAACTAGAGGCCAACAATACAAGGGCATTACCAAGAGATCTAACAGCGAAATCAGGAAATACTCCTTTATCCAGAGTGTGGCCAAAAGAGGGAGTGGCTGTGGTGCATATTATGGGCCCACAGTCCACAGAAAGACTATAGGCATCTCCCTCGGTTGGAGAGAGTGAGAGACAATTGTTTATGTATGTCTTGAGGATAACCATATCACAGGCTTGAGGTCGGGTGAGGAGACAACCCTCCAAGCGCTATCCCAGTGGGTATGGGAAGTGGTGCAGTGTTTAAGCGGAAGCTAGGGATGAACATGGAAGTTCTGTGGTAGAGAGTAATATCCCGACGTCAAGCCATAAGTTTCAGATTTGAGTCCGCTCCAGGTCTTCATGTCTGTGGAAGGTACATTCAAACATCTGGCTGATAACGTGTAAATGTTTTCTATATATGGCATACAGTAAGAGTGGGAGAGTGTCCTGATCAGCAAAGCGACTCCTGATCATTATTCATGTGGAGTGACCTGTTACGGCGGGTGGGGTGGTAAAGGTTTAGAAACAGACATAATCTATGTTTATTCTCCCTCATGAGAGGCTCGAAGAGAAATACAAGGGGGAATTACATAAATTCATGATAGAATTAAACGAGGAAGGATGGCACAGGGTTGGATGAAACCAACATAAGCATTAATTGGACTGAATTCCCGCTTCTTTGCTTTATATCGTATATTATGTTACGTCAGCATTCAATATCTTAAAATCTATTAAGGCATTGAAGTAAAACCCTTCCATGTTGTCACTTTGGGGATTGATACATTCTCAAAATCTCATGTCGCGTCCATCCAGCTGAGATTATTGGTCCCACGGCTTTGTCCTGCTGTAACACCACCGGAGAGGTAATGATTCCCAGTAATGCTGGGACCTAGCTTGTCACCCGCAGTGTTGCAGAGCTGCAGAATGCAAACAGAACATGAAGTGAAACGGCCCGTTTCTGTGGCGCTTGTTTACAAGGTGAGTCTGTGCACACAACGAACGCTCATTTCAGTCCTGGTGGTTCAATGGGATTGAAGTTTGTTTTTCCATAGTCTTTGTCAGAAATTGACAGCAGCGTTGCAAAGCTGCAGTTTGAGGCTCTTCCTCGATTTAATTAAAGCCAGTTCAAGCAGGTATCGCGGCTCCACAGTTCCAGCTGTTTCTATGGAGACGGCGTGAGCCTTTCATCCCAGTTCAAGGATCACAACATGAATCAGCAAACAAGGTTCCCAAACTCACCAGCAATCCAGTAGCACAGACAATTCTTTATACCCTTCTCCACTGGTACGTACACATGCATACTCCTTACACATATACATTCAGGCACACATAGACAAACACATCCATAGTCCCAGCTATTAGACATATAGATAACTATACACACGCACTCCCTGTGCACATGCACCATACAGATAGGTGTACATACACGTACAGCCACAGACCCCGCTATCAGACATATAGGCACAACCATATACATATAGACACAAAGCGTCCACATGTATAGATTCGCCCACAGAGCAGTGTACGCACACATCTCCATGAATATTTTACGTTGTGTTTGTTCCTGGAAATTTTCAGGAGTTTTAACTCACCTTCCCGCCCATATTTTATGCTCCCGCCATCGATTAAACGCCGTTCATGTCTATATTCATCAATAGACACGTTCATATATTGGACCTTGCAGCAAAACAAATTATGAAGCAGGTTGTCGTTAAAGTTTAATTACAAACACAATGGTTTACAACACACTGTATATGTGGAACCGACACATCTAAGAGTTCTTTCCTCAAGTAGAAATCTAAACGCTTCATTCCAGTGTTACAGAGGGATAGGTAACATTTAAACAGCTGGCCTTAATGTTTGTACCCCGGAAACTCTTCCCTGCCTTTAACTGTTAGAAAACGTGCACAACATTGAACATACGGTTTCTCCAGTACTTCCTGTGGGAATGATATGTTCTTACTGAAGGAATTGTGCAGGTCGAGCGCTTCCATTGTAACTGCAGCCTGCTTTCCCAGTGGCACTGTGCTGCTCGGTGTTTGTGTGTTCTGTGAAAGTCGGCGGCGCTCCTGATGGTTTTCTCAGGCAGATTTTCCCCAAGCATTAATCTTGCTCTCCTTTCCCTCTCTGATGTAACTCAGCTCAGCCTGTGAGTCAGGGCAATCGCGAGATCCCAGGTACCTGCAGCCTCATTCCATGCCTCCCCTGTCAAATGCAGCAAATACTCAGCATCCCAGGATGGAGCCGGGGGTTCTCATCTTCCTGCTGTACGTGATGATCATCCACGAACTGGTTTGTGGCTGGATGGAGTATCAGAGGCAGGCGGCCAAACCCAAGAAACAAGCCCGTCCCGTCTGGTCTTCCAGGTGAGTCTTTATGCTGAAGCATGTTGTCTCCTCAAACAAGCAAACATCTGCCTTGAGTTAAATCAAATTCTAAATGTTTACTTGAAATATTCAAAATATTGATTGATCAACTGAAGAGACAGAATCGTCCTTTCAGTGAATTGTACGGCGCCAGTTGACAATTGTTTATGTTTTAGGAAAGGACTTACATTTTATGTAGTTCATATAAAAACCTTCAGGAACTCTCAACACGTTTTCATATTTATGTGGCACTATTAGTGCAAAACTCAAAGGCCCCTACGCACTGCACGGAAACATTACAAAACAAGGCATAAAACGCAGTCATATTAGGGGATGTTAGATCATAATCTTGATCAAAAGAAGGTTTTTACGAATGTATTATTCGAGAAAAAAGAGACTGAGAAATGGGCAGTTTTAACGATGGAATTCCTGAGCTTGGGAGGCAAACAGCGGCAGGTGTGACTATCAGAGGTGGACCAATTCTACGAGGGTGGTCAGAGGCCACAAGGAGAGGAATGGCTGGAGGTGATATAGAAATGGGAAAAGGCGAGGTCGTGCAGGGACATGAAAATGGGGATAAGAATTTCAAAGTTGAGAAGCTGCGGAACAGAGAGCCAGTGTAGGTGAGCAGGCAAGGATTGATGAATAGGATTTGGTACTCATTAGGATGTGGATGGCAAAGATTCAGATGACTCCAAGTTTACAAAAAGTAGCACGTGGGATGCCGACCAGGAGTGCGTTCAAGTAATGATCTCAAGAGCAGAGTCAAGGAGAGAAATTCTGGGACTGGGTGTTGTTCCTGACCCAGACACAGATCCACCATCCAACCTGAGTACAGTTGCCCCAATATGCCTATTGTCTCCAGTCCTAGTGTGCCCCCTTCGCAGACTTTGACAAAAGTTACAAAAACATGGAGGACGTTTCAATAGAAAAAGAGTAGAGTCAGGTGACGTTACAAAGGCAGAAATAAGTGCTCCTGGTGATGGTACAGATATGTGGCTGAAAGCTTTTCTCAAGGTCAAACAAGATACTGAGGCTTCAAGCAGTCTGTTTCTGTCTCAGGTAGGTGCAAGAGAGGGGACTAGAATTGCTGATAGCGAGAGAAGTTTGTAGTAGGAACCAAAGACAATAGCTTCAACCTTCCCAATATTAATTAGAGGTAATTCCTGCTCATCCACTACTGAGCAAGCAGTCTGACAATTGCAGGACGGTAGCAGGAATGAGAAAGGTACTCGTGAGTTAGGGTTAAGTTCATGGAGAAATTGATGTCATGTTTTCAACTGATGTAGCAAGGTGGAAGTTTTTAGGGAAAGTATTCTGGAATTTGGGCCCGGGACAGCTACAAAATCTACAACCATCAATGAACAGAATCTAGTTAAAAAAAGCAAAAGGGAAAGTTAACACACAGGTTGAACCATCAATAAATTAGGCAAATAGTATATTACAAATTACAAAATTCATTACAAAGAATTTGAAATATACAAGAAAGTCTTGCTTTTGTGAGACTACCTGTGAACTACTCTGGTGTTCATACCCAGGGAAAGAATATACATGACTTACAAATATTAACTAGTTTGGGCAGCTCTCTTATCTCAGGAATCAATGAGTGAAGAGTGAGTACAGTGAGGCTAGAGGCTTCAGTATTTAGAATAATAAAAGTCAATTTCTTTGAAAGGTAAAAACATTTTGAGAACTTGACAGGATAGATGCTGAGAGATTGCTTCCCCTGGCTAGAGCCAGCAGTAATAATCTCAAGTAAGGGGGAGGCGTTTGACTGTTTAAACTAAAATGAGATGACATTTCTTTTCTCAGAGGGTGGTGAACACTTAGAATTCTCAATTCTGGTGAATATAAATGTTAAATCATAGAGTATTTTGAAGACTGAGATGGAAGAGTTCTTAGGCACAAAGGGAATCAAGAGTTATGGAGATACAATGATGAAGTACTGTTGATATAAAAGTTAAACCGTGATTTTACTGAATGACAAAGCATGCTCATCAACCCTCGTAGCCTAGTTCCTAAATCCTATTTCTTATGTTTCATAAGCCAAATATGGCTGGAGAAAATTGTGCAAATAGGGGAGGTCAAGACCATAGAAGGACATATCAATGAGGGAAATGATTCTGAATTTATTTCATTGAGAGATGGAGAACCAGTAGAGATGGGTGATTAGGGAATTGGCAGAGGAACAGGACTTATTGAGAAATAAGATGTGGCATAAATCTTGGATGGTACTTTATACAGGATATTGTTTGAGAGGCTGGTACAAAGCGTTTGATGGAGATAAGCTTGAAGGTTGAAGATGATAAGAATTTCAGCAGCAATGGGCATGTGGTAGAGGCAAAGGTGCAAATAATCATAGGTTTTCTGAAGATGAAAAGAAACAATCTTTGTGGTAGTTAGTAATAGGTTGCAATGCTCAGCTCAGTATCAAATAGTCAATTCGATCATTATTGCACAAAGAACCTTTTAAGCTTAGAGCAGAGTGATTTCTGCAACTGAACTATTTTCCACACTTATTAATTTATAATATCAATGCTATCAGATAATAAATAAGCAGCCTTTAATCCAAAATGCATGAACAAATTAAAAGAATCAGGAATATAGTGAAAGGTGTAAAAATGCAGAATTTCCTCATATTTTTTGGGTATGAGAGAAGAGTACCAAGTGTTGGTTTTATTAGTGTCATCATTAATAACATTTCAAAATGATGGATATCATGGTATACCAGCAAATTGAAAGAAATTATTTTTCAGACCTCTTTGTGCAGCCAATGCCCGCTTAAGTAACTAAATATTCATATCTTGTGCTTATAAAATCTGGTTTCCTCCCAAAGTATATTCAATTACATGTTTCACCTTACATGGTGACAGTCTCAGTGGTTGGGCTATTTTGTAACTGACAGACCAGATAATTGCTGTGTTATTATTAAGACCTTTATAGGCATTCTTGAAGTAAATCTCTGTGGAAGTACCCACCATGAACCCAACAGCTGCCAGGCTTATTCATTTTAAGTACTGCAGTGAAGTGTTCATGAAATACTCTCTGTCGTTTGAGGTTTATTAGCTCCTTATATATATAATATATTCTACTTCAAGAAGTAGCAACCCATGTTAGAATCTACCCTGAAAAGACAAAAGTGCAAGATTAGTTCCGCTTAAAATGTGCCAATAGAACAGGGGCCATAAATTCAAATTATTGAAAGGCACATTTAAAATGAACATTAGTTTGTGTTTGTAACCAAAAGATGATTGACATTTCGTTGGTATTGGAAGCAAAACCATTAGTGTACTTTAAGAAACCCATGTTGTAAAAAAATTGTTACTTCTTAAGATAAATGAACTTGGATGATAAATATTCTTTCTCATCCACACTGTAACAATTTGAGCTCTGCACAGCTCCTTTTATTCATGGTCACAACGTTGTCATAACCTTGCACTCCCAACGATGTAAAATCCATGACTCAGTGAAGAAGATCAACAGCAGACATGTTAGAGATCAAGTAATGGGAAACAAGGAAAGTCATGAACAAGTTTGAACAACCACAGTAAGAGTGGCCCTTGAACAGATTTAGGACAAGCCAGGGCCCCTGTGCAGTAACCTCCACAGTTGGGGCCTCAGTACAAACCCTGATGCACCAGTAATGCTGCACATTACTGAGGAGTGACCCCTCTGTATATTAAATGATGGACTATCCACCTTAAAGTCAACACATGAGGAGGCCAGTTCTTGGTTCTGGGAATTCACTTATGCTAAATAGACAAATAAAGGAGAAATGGTGTGTCACAACTTTTACAATGTACCCCTAAAGATAATATACACCGCTGTATGCATTTGATACACATCATAAAACATATGCCTGCAACATCCTTTTGATCTCTCATTTACTCACAAATCACGGTGCCATCAGACCATATGGTGTGGGGTGAAAACACAACTGAGTGTAATAATTTAAATTACACAAGAGCAACAAAAATCAGCAGAAGAATGTTAAATATAAACACAACCTAAAAGGTTTGTGGCACAGTAGTAGTGTCCCTACCTCAGAGCCAGGAGCCCTGTTTCAAGTCCCACATGCTCCAGAAGTGTGTAATCACATCTCTGAGCAGATTGATTAGAAAATATCTGAAACACGGTCTATTGGTTGATTAGAGAATAGGAACATGTTTCAGAATTGAGTAATTCCTGAGAATCTTTGAATAAAGTCTTTTGATGACGGTCAAGGTCTGATAAAGATCTTCTGCACAAAGTTCTATCTGCTGCAGTGACCTACAAAAATGGTTAAAAACAGCACTGAAACCCAGGAGAGCTGCTAATGCTGATTCCTGCAACTAGCATTTCATTCTTTAGATCAGAAAAGATCTTTTTGGAATAGGAAAATGTTTTGAGGGAATTATAAATTATTTTTGCAGTCAATGATAAATATAAATTATTTCTATTACTGAAGCAAATTGGATATAATCAGCAGTTGATCCTTTCTCCCGCTATTGGGAATGTGTTTACTCTGTCATGCTGAAAGCAGTGACTACTGAAATGGTACCAGTATTGACAGTGTCTGAACAATGTCCAGATGTTCAATAACTTGATAAAATGGGTACTGCTCAGATCAGCACTTTCCATTTATCACATCCTTGCTGCATTGATTATATTATGCATTGCAGATTGCCATTTACTGGCTGTGCTCATTATTGCTGGCATGGGAGAATACAAGCTAGTGAACTTATTGTAGTCTGACTGACAACTTCCTAAAGCTGTACCATGTCTGTTATTGAGACCTGTCAGAGAATAGTCTTTGTGAGCTGTTTTAAAGGAATTAACAAAATATGTTCTTGCCTTCCTCCTGATGTCCTTTTTGGAGGTTCAAAAATTTTGAAACTGAATTTTGCATGACATATTGCTGTGATAAAATGCTTTCCTTTTCCAAAGTCTATGTGTCCCAATCTTTCAACTCTCTAAGCTCAAAATTAGCTACCTAACTTATTTATTTGATAATCTATAATGATTTTCTTTTCAGCACAATGTCTTCAGTGCTGAAATTCATCTTTCCCCAATTTTATCAGCACCATTGTGGGAAATGGCAGACTTTCAGAACACTATATAAACCAATTCTGTCTAGATTGCTGTTTTGTCTTTGTTATGTATGAAAACCCTGTACAAACATATCCATGTCCCTGCAATATGAATGATTCAAGAATCCAAATGATCTGAGTACACCAATAAACAACATGTCTTTAATAATAAACATTTTTCTCAATCTGGACTGAGTTGTGTTTAATGGTTTTGTACTTTCATCAGCAAATATACGTCCCGTTCTTATAGAAAACCACTCTTCTCCAATATTTTCATAACTGGAAACTGCTGTAGTGCCCAATCCTCTTGGGACATATTAATAATGGTCACTGAAAGAAAATTATTCATTTTCAATTGTGATTAAAATTACTAATTTGCCACATGTCTAATTAAGAATATTCTCCAGATCAGAAACATATTACACAGAAGGAGGTCATTCTCTACTGTTGTGTAAATTTGAATAAGGAGTTAATTAATTGAATTTTGATATTTCGCTTTGAGGTATGGACCAGGAATTTTGACAGGCCAAATGAAAAGGCAATAATGTTAATTTTTTTTTAAGTAGTACCATTGCAATCGCCAACTTTAAAGTCATCACACTTTATAGTCTAATTTCTGATGTGAAGCACTTGAATCTGGCTTTGCTATGTTGTCCATCTTTCTCCTTTATAGTTATGTGAAACCCGGAAGTCTAACACACTCCAGGACTCCAAACCGTTATACAAAACGTGAGAAATTCCGAGATTGGAAGAAGTCTGGACGCATAGTGAGAAAAGCATGAACACAAAATGAAAATTAGAACTGGGTATCAACATGGAAATCTGTCATGTTCTTAATATGTGTATGACTATGTGATTCCAAGGAGCTGCCAATATTTGCCTTGGTGTGTTGATGCACTCTACCACATCTAACAACCTTCCAGTGTCATGTAGTCTTTACAAAGGAAACACATCATGTGGTAACGATAGGAATTTTAATGTGTACTTTATTTTACACAAGAAACAAATGACTTTGTGTTATTTATTGCTGTGATGAGTTAATATATTATTATGTATGGCAGAGCTGGGACCGTTATCAGTAATGTGATTTGTTGACATTGATACAGAGCAGTGCTACACACCAATTTCTGTCAGGAAGCCTTGTGTACTCTACACACAACATTTCCAAAACTGCATTAATTCACAGCAACCCATTTGAAAATGTGCAACAGTGGAGAAGGGTAAGAGTAATATCAAAGCATAAGGACACACAGGATTGACAGATTTGAAATACAGTCAGTTCTGCTATAACGTGATAGTTGTGTTCCTGTGCAGCATCATGCTATAGAAAGTTGCACTTTGAAATAACAGGGCCTATGGGAAAAGTGGTGTTAGGGGCAGACCACCAAAAAAAATCACTCAAAATCGCTCAAAAATCACTCAAAAGCCTAACACAAAGGATAGCACAATTTTAATAAATGTTTAATTCCTATCTAATAATGAAATAAAAGTAAATTTAATGCTATACCCTGAAAAAATGTCAAGGTGACTTGATGGGAGAGGAGGCTGTACTATACAGAAAGCACTTCATGACAAAGCCAGTGAAATGATCATGTGACGCCAGCATGGAGATTCTTTTGGTGCTAACATTGTATGTATTCATGACAAAGTCCATGAAACGATCATGTGAAGTTGATGCATAGTCCTCTGCGTACTAATGGAATCACTTTACAGCCAACACAAGTTTGCATTTTAGAAATAGCATTCCCCTATTCGTCAGTCACGTTACAGCGAATTTGCATTGCCAGAACACACGTTATAGCAGAACCAACTGTAGGACTCTAGAGGACAGCTGACCTCCCATAACACACTTTGATAGTCAAGAGTTGAAGTCTTAAACTCAGTTTGTGTACTGCTATGCCAAATTAGCATGCAAGTGGAGAGGGAGAAACATAGTCTCTGAATATGATTGGAATTCTATTTTAGTCACATATCTTTAATAAAGGATGATTGACATTTACAAATGTGCAGCGCACATTAAGATCCACATCAAACATGCTTTCCTGTTACATGGAATACATGTAATTAATCTTAAAGAACGACTGAAGACAATCTTCATGTCACAAACCCACTGTTTGAAAACGTTGCATCTTTAGTTCTGAGTATTAAAATACCATTTTTTTGTTTTTAACAAATGCATGTTGTTTCTGTTCTAAAATGTGCAAAAGTATTTTCTTTAATGTAGAAATAGTGAATATTAAAACACAGAAAGCATGTGAGACAAGAGAAATTCGCAGTATCACTGGACTAAATTTTAAATATCAAATTACTTTTTATTGAAATAAATGCCTCAATAATTTACATGGAAAACCTTGCCACAATGTTTTTTACAGATGAAAAATCCCTATGTCAGAAGAGTCTTGCATGATCTGTGGAAATGTCACAAAAAAACACCCAAACATCTACTTTCTGATATATTCCTATGATTCTGGATGTCCAATCTGTAATTATTAAAGACCTATGTTGAATGATCTAGTGCTCAATGTTCTTTCTAATTTATATGGATTTAGTACACAATATATTTGGCCAATTTGTAGTTTGCAATTTATTGACTACATTTTCAATCCCTGGAAGGTGCTGGACGGGAGGTAAGTGGATCCAGATAATTAGATCCAAAACAGCAGGTCCTGCCTCCCAGTGATTTGAAGAGGCATTGGGATTTGTATGCTGGCAGGATGGTGAGGAACTTAACATCTAGTGAAAGGGTGGAAAGCTATTTTTGATTACAGGTATAAGGATCAGTGGATGTCTAGTCATGAAGGTGGGTCCATTTAATACCAGAGCATTACATAGAAATGGCTCAGAGAGCTGCCCAGACTGCAACATGCAGTGGCTTTTGATTGTGTGAATGCTGCTGAGTTTGCTGTGCAGGCACTCCAGCACTTCAAGGTGAGTAACTCTGTGGGGGCAAAGCAGCGGGATCCTGGCAGATGGTGATCTCACTTCTGTGGAGATGAGACTGAGCTGCCTGGATTTGTGGCTAAACAGTGATGAGGTGCAGCTACTCCCACAGCAAGTCCAGGCCATTTTTCCTGAGGGACGAAAAGTGCTGGATAAGGGGCAAGCAGGGGACAAAGGTCACATCCCACACATTGGGTGTATTGACAATAATTAGCATTATTGGCATCTGTGAAGGAAGCAGCTATCAAGGACGGCGGCAGCAGAGTTGTACGCATTCCTTGCCAGTGTCATCAGTCTGCCCTGCCAGTTGCTGTCAAAGTGATCAGGGCATCAAATGTCTTTGCTTCTGAATAGCAGCTGAACTTGCTGGCATCTCACAGTTGGCTGTTTATTATGGGAGGTAGTGGATGCCCAGGTTCAGAGGGTGTTTTTAGATTCAGAGGGATTCCCCTGAATTCACCACTAATCAGCCAATAAGCTTTACCTCAATCACTGGACTCCCTTGGGTGCATGGTGTTGTCCAATTCACCCAACTGGCCACCAGGATCGTTTGTGGACTGGAAATGATGCAACTCTGTCAATGTTCGACTGGAATTCAACCACCAGGTGAGATTCCTGCAGTTTTGTCCCAGCCTCCTGGTAACCACAACGAGAACAATTACAGGTCTCACAGCTGCTCATAAAGCTGGTGACACTGAGAACGGGAGATGGTTGCTAGCCGCAAAGCTTGTCCATTGAAGAGGTGGATGCTGATATATAAACACAATCCTTTAACATAGGTATGGAGATGCTACAACGGCTTCCTGCACTAAGCAGAGCATTGAACTGTTCAAGATGTGATTCTGCTGCCATAGCTTGCACTTGGTATGGGCAGGACCAGGGAGAGAAATCGTGGGCTGAGGTGCTTCCAGGCTCTTTATACCCACACTTGCCCTCACTCTTAACTCCTCAACAGCTTCTGTTGAGTGCCTTCTCAATATACTTTGGACTGTGTAGAACAGAGGAGTGCAGCAAGTATTTATTAGGTGAGCCAGTCATTCAGCTTCAATCACTTCTGTACTGGAGTTGATTAAAGGTACGTTTCAATTGCACAGAAGCAGACCTAGAAAAAAAAGTCATTAATAACCTCAAATATCAAACCTCAAAAGCCATAATGCACAAGGAAAATGCTAATTTCCCAGATACCCATAGTATGTCCTGTACACAACAATCAAGACAAATCCAACTCGGCCAATTACCGCCACATCAGTCTACTCTCGATCATCAGTAAAGTGATGGAAGGTGTCACCAACAGTGCTATCAAGCAGCACCTGCTCAGCAATAACCTGCTCAGTGACGCACAGTTTGGATTCTGCCAGGGCCACTCAGCTCCTGACCTCATGACAATCTTGGTTCCAACATGGACCAAAGAGCTGAATTGCAGAGGTGAGGTGAGAGTGACAGCCCTTGACATCAAGGCTGCATTCGACCATGTGTGGCATCATGGAGTCCTGGCAAAACTTCACATAGGAAGATGGTCGTGGTTGTTGAAGGTCAATCATCTCAGCTCCAGGACGTCTCTGCAGGAGTTCCTCAGGGTGGAGTCCTCAGCCCAACTATCTTCAGTTGCTTCATCAATGACCTTCCCTCCATCATAAGGCCAGAACTGGGGATGTTTGCCGATGATTGCACAGTGTTCAGCACCATTCGTGACTCCTCAGGTACAGAAGCAGTTCATGTTCAAATATAACAAGGTCTGGACAATATCCAGGTTTGGGCTGACAAGTGGCAAGTGACATTCGTGCCACACAAATGCCAGGCAATGACCATCACCAATAAGAGATAATCTAACCACTGCTCCTTGACATTCAATGGGGTTACCATCACTGAATCCCCCTCTATCAACATCCTAGGGGTTATCATTGACCAGAAACTCAACTAGATTCACCATATAAACACAGTGGCTACAAGAGCAGGCCAGAAGCTGGGAATACTGCGGCGAGTAACTCACCTCCTGCCCTCAAAGCCTGTCCACCGTCTACAAGGCACAAGTCATGAGTGTGATCGAACACTCCCCACTATCCTGGATGAGTGCAGCCCCAACAACACTCAAGAAGCTTGACACCATCCAGGATAAAGCAGCCTGCTTGACTGGCACTACATCCAGAAGTATCCACTCCCTCCACAACTGACACTCAGTAGCAGCAGTGTGTACTATCTACAAGATACAATGCAGAAGTTCACCACAGATCCTCAGACAACACTTTCCAAACCCACGACCACTTCCATCTAGAAGGACAAGGGCAGCAGACATATGGGAAGACCACCACCTTCAAGTTCCCCTTCAAGCAACTCACCATCCTGATTTGGAAATATATCACCATTCCTTCACTGTCGCTAGGTCAAAATCCTGGAATTCCCTTCCTAATGGCTACCCAAAACAGGTGGACTGCATTGGTTCAAGAACGCAGCTCACCACCACCTTCTCAAGGGCAACTAGGGATAGGCAAGAAATGCTGGCCAGCCAGCAACGTCCACATCCCACAAATGAATAGAAAAAGAAAATTTGGCACAAAAACAACCAGCATAAGTTATCAAAAGTCTCTACAAAATAAATGACACACACGCACACAAAAATCACTGAACACAACATTCATAGACTGTTGAGGTCACATCTTATGTCCTTCCTTTGTGTAATCCTACAGCTAGAATGTTTTAACCAGATAGTCACTACACTCACCTTAGATCTCAATTCTAGATTTAAATTTAACAATTGTCACATTGCTTATTACAATAGTACCAACTTAATTTTTATGCTTTAGGTAATTACAAATTTAAGCAGCCTTAAGCTAGAGATTCTATATTCATTTGAAAGGATTTCCTCACTTCAGTGATTTCAGGCTTTCCTGGATCTTGGTAGAGTATTCCCTTGTTGGCAGCGCTAAATTACTCTCTGTCTTTTGTAGCTCCCATTTCTCCCTATCCGGTTGTAACTTCCTTCTGTCTCTTCTCCCTTATTGTTTTCTGCTTCCTCCAGCCCCTTGTAGCTTCTTCCTCTTCTTCAGCCCCTTTTCAGCCTCCACCTTTCCCACCTGCCCTGTTGAGGCCAGGTTACAATGCAATGCTCTAGACCCAGGCCTGGCTCAATATACAGTGCCCTTAAGCTTCTCCATCTTCTAACTCTTCTTTAACTGTTCAGCACAATGAGGTACTATCTCCTTGATAAATTGACTTCTTATCATTGGTGCTCCTGATTGAGTGTTGAACACATCCCCTGGTCATGAATTGGCTTGCTCATGTAAAATTGTATAGCACAACAGTGGGATTGAGTCTAAGAAATACACCCCATTGGCCCCACCCTGGAATAAAAGCTCTGCTACGCAATTGATTTGATACTCAAGAACAATACAATATTTAGACTAACTGGTAGAACTCCATTGAAGAACAATGAATGAGAATACAATCAAAGGCTGACTTTTATCCTCAGATTCTCAGCTGAACCATTTGATAAATCCAATGACTTTTCAGCTGGGCAGTTGGCGATCTGTTCTAGACCTGTATTAGATATCAAATAAAAATGAATTGTTATCAACTTGGTAATGTTGTACAAGATAATCATTTCAACCAGGAGAGGAGCAGGTCAGGTGAAGACTCGAGGCTGGCAGCATCATCAAAAGGAGCGGGAAAGCTAAGGACGCTGTAATTAATAGTGGGTGTCACTGAGAGGAGCAGGTGAGTTAAGGACCCTATGTTAAACAGTCAGTGTCATTTGCAAGGAGCAGGCAAGGCATGAGCCCTCACAGAGAAGCAGACAAACCAGTGATGGATCTGACTGGGACTTTGGTCATAAACAAGAATATGATTCCTCTATTCCATATTTACGGAGGAGCAAGGGTAAAATAAGTGTAAAGGATCCATGTTCTATTTTGCTAAAGTATATCTGTGGGGTTGTGGTTTACATACTCTGCACTACATCGGACATCCTGGATGCTCCTGGCAGTCTCGATGACCATGGGTACAGTAGCTGCCTCTGGCTGGAGCAATTCCACCTCTGGGTTTTGAAGCTTGAGCAGCAACTAGAGATATGACAGGGCATTCAGAAGGCTGAGTGCTTTGTAAATAGCTCATTACAGACCATGGTCATCCTGTAGTTTAAGGAAGTGCAAGTTGAGAAGTCAACCAAGCAGGTCGTGAGGAAATTCCCAAAGTGCTCATTGCGTACAAACCATTTCTCAGCCTTGGAAAATGGTTGACAGTTCCTCTGTGGAGACCAGCCAGAGCCAAAACCATAAAATTGTGGGTGGTCCAGTTGCTTGGGAAAGAGGAAGAAATGTGGTAGGGCCAATAGTGAGAGGAGATTCATTAGTGAGGCACAATTAAGGAAATAACCTTAGCTCCAGGATGGTATATTGCTTCCCAGCTGCTAAGTTTGAAGATGTCACAGAATAGCTGCAAGCTATTCTAAATGGGGAGGGTGAACAGCCAAAGGTTATGGTCCATGTTGGGACCCAACCTCTTGGCAAAAATAATGGAGATCCTGAAAGCAGAGGGAGTTAGACATCTCTGGACTACTCTTAGGGCCATGCTGTAG